CTGAACAACACTGCAAGTCAATAGTCACCCAAATCTTTTCTGTGAGTTCATCCCCTAGATTTATCTCAACTCACTCAACCCGCACTTAGGTCTTCGTTAAGATCATGCAGACTCATTAATGTGGTTTAGAACACAAATGTGACTTGTATTAATAAAAATAAATAAAACTTCACCATGTAGCTCGACACAGGCCATTTTAGACAACTTTCTGTAGTTTCTTTTTTACAAGTAACTCTTGATAAGTTTAAAAACAGAAACATCAGAAATGTGGCCTAGCCTCAATATGTCTGCTAGATGTCTAATTACGCAGCACTTTTACAGCACTTATTGTCTAAAAAGACTGCCTTAATTTTTGTTATAATGGATCCTAAATCACATTGACAAATCTCAGTGAAGACAAAGCTTTAGTTTGAGCGGGTTGAGAGAAGTTTTGGGCCTGTATTTACAGAAACGATTTGGGTGTCGACTGACTTCTAGTATTAGTAACGTTAATCTTGTAGATCCGGTGCTAAACTAAATAATCAAAATTCAGACACCAAACATGTCTTAGCTGATTGACTACATCTAGGTTACGTATATATATATTTTTTAGAACCATTACTTGAATATAAAGAGATTTTATTTCAAGTAAATTTAAACTATTTCATGGTTCCATTCATCAAGAAATGTTCACAGAATATTTAAAAAAGAACCGTTTTCAAAAACTGGAAAGACTGACCGTTACTGAAGGATACCCTTACAAATGTCTTTCACCCTTGTCTTACTTATTAGGGGTTTAGACTCAATGCTGCTTTCCTACAAAGTAATTGTGGCAAATACAACTGAATTGCACTCTTATACACTCTTAGAAATAAAGGTATTAAACTGTCACTGGGGCAGGACCCCTCTTGTCACTGGGGTGGTTCCCTCAATGGCACTTCTCAGTACCTTTGGTCAGGGAACATAACTGAACCATAATCCACTGAAATGATATGTTCTAAGCTGTACTGACTCCACACACCCCGCCTCGTCTCCAGGCTTTTATTTTACTGTTCTGTTTAAAACATTCGGTTATGAAAAGGTACAAATATGAACTTTTCACCTGGAAACACTTATTTAAGGTTCACAACTGGACCTTAAAACCACTGTTGTACCATTGAGGGAACATTTACACTGTTTGTACCTTGATGAATGAAAAATGTACCTGAACAGAACCTTTATTTCTATCAGTGTATGGAATATCTTGGGGTTGGTTAGACAGCTAAAAAAGCATATTACAGTCTTCTGTAATATCAGCACTGCAAAGGGCCATGTTGCGATAACAATTAACGTATGATATCCTGGACGGCACAAGTCCCCAAGTGCCTCATTTGTGCCACGGCTCTGTCCTGGCCAGGCTGCTCTCTCAAGCACTCCCCCCGAAGCCAGCGCAGTGCGGTGTTCCAGCAGGGCTGACAATAACTCCTCCGCTGACCCCAGTCAGAACCGATCAGTCCCGCTCATCTGTTGCCGCTGATCCACGAATGCCTGCTTTAACACGGCCAAAATGCCACTGCAGACACCTGAGTTTCACTTAAACCGCACGATTCAGGTGAGCCGTCAACCGAATACAAATCATTCTCTATTACTCCTATTTCTGACCAGGGAGCTGTCGATTTATTGCCCAGAATGCAGCACAGAAGCAACGAGAAAGATGTTGCTGACAGTTTTCTCAACAATGGACCTTGACACATCTGTTAGAGGAACATTAACATTACATGAAACGCAAGTTGTTGCATGACTGTTTACTCTACAGAAAGAGATATAATCCTGAAATGGGATCATTTTCTCTGCTGTTTCCTCAACTTTCAAAGCGATATAAACATCACGTTGTGCAAAACATAACCCTGTCAAAAATTTCTGACCTGCAGCAATAGCGAAATCTTCCGTCAAATAATCTTCTCGCCGTACAGGAGGAGAGCGATTTGTCTCCAAAGCTAACACGGAACGTTCCACAGGCCATAACCCTGTTGGAGACTTGCCGCAGATCGACCGGCAAAGAAATTATTTATTTGTAATGATAGCTGTCATATTGTGGCTCCCTCCTGCTGCTGCGAAAATGAATATTTCCTTTTCTGACAAATGCATCCATCAGCCAGGGAGACTGCACGGCAGACAGGGGCCCGGGGAACACTGAAATGTTCTGATGATCCCTCTTCAATTTCCTGCAGGCCGCGACCTCCGCCGACTCCCACTGCACACGAATGTGATGAATAGGCCAGGCCTCTGCTCTAGGTCACTCTTGCCATTACACGGGAAGCCGGACTGACATGAGCCCGCTGTGATGACTTAGTTACCACAGTCGCACAAGGAAAGCAGCACTCCTGGGGGCGGCTGTGCGATCGCTAATTAAGCACACGCACAAGTGAGAATGAAAACGAAAAGATATGAACGGTATAAAAGCGCTAGGAGTTTAAAACTGGGTTAAACACATCAGCATCGCTTCATGGAGCCTTTAAAGTACACTGAAAAAAGTAATGCATTGCATTTACTTGTTTCATATGTGTACATCATTTCCACATGAATTAAACATATTACATCAGCCCAATTCTTCAGTGTGCATACTTTTGGCAATAATTGTATTGGTGTGATATATTTTATTCATGTGGGAACAAAGTGCACAATTGAATCAAGTAAATTTATTGCATCACATTATTTCAGTTAAAGCATTATGTGTCTCAGCCAGGGGGAACCCTTAGGGCCTTCCAGGTCTTCAGAGAAGGTGATTTCTAAGGACTAAAACACAAATGTCTGTAATTTTTTATACATAATTTTGTATCATGCTTGTTGTATTTAAACTTTGCAAGCATTTTAGTACTACCCTTCTTTCACCATTAAGAATTGGTTGGAAACAAAATGGTTGAAATGTAAAAACACCCAGTTATAAATTATTCAATCAGGATTTTTCCCCTGTTGTATCTATGCAGATAAGCCAAGTGAGCTCTCCCACTGTTTAAGACTTCAGGAGCGAGATTGAAGGCCTATGGTGTCAGATTACTACCAATGTAACAGTGGAATCAGCTAATCACATTTTGATTTACAATGGGTGGGACCAACTAGCTAATAGCTAATGAAAAGGCAAAGATTTAAGGTGGACATCGATGATTTGGAGATGAATGGGCTTATTTGCATTTACAAGCACTTAGGAAAATTTGAACGAGAAGCGACTTCAGCCTCGAAAAAAACTGAATGTTAAGAGACGTTTTACAAGAAACTGTTCTACTTATATATATACATATAGTCTACATATTCCAGGTTTCTGTCAGCTGTTAGAAATGGCAAAGTGCAGCAGCTCTATTAATAAAATATTACTCATTCCTGTTATAATCTTCACATAAAACATATGGAATGTCTTTCACAATCTTCAAATGTCTGTATTTCATTTAGAATGGCCAAAAAATGTTAGTATACCAGCACTAGTTTAGCACAACCATACTATTAGAGATAAGCAGAAATTCGTACAGGTGTTTTTTTCTAGGGTGGCACTGAAATTTCGGCAACAGAAACAGTTCAGCTTAGGAAACATTCTGGCTAACAATGGACAAAATTGGCACTGGTTTTCGGGAAAAATTGTGGATGAAAAAAACAAACAAAAAAAAACAAGCTGAGATTTATAATCACTAATCATGCTGATTGTCAAGAGGAGATGCCTAAAAACGTTTCCACTGCAGGTCTGATACCAACTGAAACATAACATCCTGTGTGATAGACAGAATAAAGAAAAACTACAGTAACAGAAAAGGACATTAACAATGACACCACAATGTCTCTATCTGTAGGTTTTGAAATAATGAAAGAATCACTGTCAAACTGCAAAGTATAATTAAACGTATTCAGTGCCTTGGATGATCAGCCATTCTCAGTTGTTCAGGATGTCAAATTTGATTGCAATTTGTAGCCTACATAGTGTGATAACTATTACATTTATAGTTAGTATGATTTGTACATTTATTTTATGTCAACTGCTATTTCCCAGTTTTTTCCCCAATTTTGGTTGTGTCAGATATTACCCACTAGCTTTGCCTGGGCTGTGCTGCACTGAGCTAGCTAGCATTGCACTGAGTGATGGGGGGCCGCCTAGAGAGAGCAAAGCTAATGATAGGGCCAACTCTTAGACAGTTGTGCCTCTCAGGGTCTATGTAAACTGCTTTTATTTACAGGGTCATTCAAAAAGATTCATCCAATTTCAAAACGCCATATTTTTACAACCATGAGGCACAGAGGAACCAATCACAATCCAATTGAAAGAGGGGGTCATAGAGTTTCTGACTGTCAGTGGAAGACGGCTCCCTTCAGTCTGAGAGGAGATGAGACCCCAGAGCAGAAAGCGTTCTGCGTTCTCCACTTCAATAAGAGTGAATCCATCATAACTGTGCAGCGTGATTTTTTATCAGCAGTGAACCTCCAACAGCTCAGAGTGTTCGTCGTTGGTTCCACAACACTGGATGATCTCCGAAATCGCACTGAAAGAGCCGTGAGTGCAGCGACACCCGACATGCTCAATCCAGTATGGGATGAATTTGACTATGGTGTTGATGTTGTCTGTACAGCTGGAGGAGGTTCATATTGAGACCTTGTAAAATTACATAATAATGTTTATGTTTATTTAAACCATTTACAGTTTACTGCATTGATCTGTAATGATTTACAAGTGAAATAAATCATTTTGAAATCAGATGAATCTTTTTGAATCACCCTTTAATATCAGCTTGGTTTTGTCTTACTGAAAGCAGTTATTGTCAATAATAGAAGTGTTTTCTTTATTACTTTTTAATGTTTAGTACATTATTGAAAAGCACAAATAAAATGCCACATTAAAGAAAAATGTTTTTTGGCCAGGTGTGGCTTGCAATTCAATTTTGGACAGGAACTCACAAGGTAGGAATATGTAAAAGCCTGGCTTCTTCGCCACTCCTTTGCTGTGAAAACCAGAAAGATGAGTAATAGCTGCAACGGCCCTCAGAGCCCGGGCCGATTCTCACCTTCGCTGCGGTAGTCCTCCTGAGAGCTGAGGGCCGACAGCCTCTGCCTGGAGAACGGAGACCAGTCCTGGCTGAAGGAGCTGTGGTCCTGCCTGGGCCTCAAGCGTGGCCTCAGCAGCGAGGAGGAGGAGCTATCTGGCTTCATCCGCAACACAGCCGCGTATGACACGGGCCTGCCGGCAACCGATCTGGCAAGCTCTAGAACGACACATCGAGGTAGAGCGGAGTGAGAGAGAAGCTCAGAGCTGCACTTTTTCAAAATGTTCCAATATAGACAAAATTGCCTTTGAATTAATTGAATACTGATTCCTAAGTAATACTGTTTTTAAACTTTTAAATTACAAAAACAAAAGTGGGTGTGGCTTAAACTAGAAATGTACATGCCGTGCTAGAAGTGGGTATATTTACTGACAGTAACGGATTGCTGACCAATTAAAAAGCACTTAAGTCGCCAGTTTAGATTTGGAACTCACATACTTTTTGAAGTAGTTCAGTCTGAACCATATGAGTATTGAATTTCGATACCCAGCTCCAGACACAATGTCATCTGAATTTCCTCTTCCTCAACCACTCCCTCATTTGATGTGTATTACAGCATTTTGTACTGTCTTTTCTGGTAATGAGTACAGGGGCAAAAGTCAAAGACTGCTCAGCATTTATTTAATTTCCAGTCAAAATGCCCATAAAGTATAAGTTATTCAATTTTCAGTGCAAGAAAAGAAGCAGAAAACATCAGTTGGACAGAAAATTACACAGAAGCCTTAAAAGTTAAATACAATGTCAACATTTCTAGAATTTCGCAAGTCCACTCTTTGCCTTTATTACAACTTCCATTCTTTTCAGAAGACTTGCTTTCAGTTTTTTTCAAAGAAATCTGCAGGGATATTTTTCCACACCTTTAAAATTCAGGCTTAGACGTTGGTTGCATTTTCGGCTTCTAATGAAGTTAGAAGTTTCTCATTTTATTAACTCTTTCTTTTTTTGATGGCATCTTGACAGCTACACATCCTTTTAGATTCATAGTGTCTCACAGTGGAAGGATGGTCAGAAACATCTGCAGATTTCTTCAAACCTGAAGCAAAACTGGAGCTTAATCTTCTCCAATCTCTCAAATATTTGTTTCTGATGATGAACGTTTTGGTCTACCAGGTTGTAGAGTTGTCAGGAGTCCCATTTTCTCTGCAACTCCAGTTTTGGGCTGCAGTCCTGTATATCTTACAAAGCATATTTTGTGACTCTTATTAAAAATTGATGACGAACAGCAATAATAAATAAATTCTGATATAATTACAAGTTCTGAAATAATTACAGGTCCAAAAATTACGAGTTGGAAGTGGCAAAGTGAATTTTGAATACTGAAGCCACACACAGAGAATGAAATTCATTCAAAGCCAAAATTCTCCACTCTGGCTCAGCCCCTCATTTATCACTCAGAAAATACATGGCTAATTATATTCCAATCATGTTATGTCAATCAGAGCACCTGACTGAATAATTGCTGCAAATCATTGCTATAAATTTTCTATTTGTGTTTGAAAACTCTGCCAAAAGGAGGAGTGTCCCTCAGCATTGGATGTCTTAATTAGAAAGTCCATTAGCACCTGTTAAAAATCCCCATTTGCTCTGTCTTCCAATTATACCTTAAACAAGTACTGACTAAGCTCCAGTACATCAAGCTGCCAAAGCAATACCCCAGATGCAGTGCTTTGTAATGAGAAAAACCCGGCGAACTGACAGCGTGCTCCACACCGTTTCGTTCCGTGCATTGCGGTGAATTTTTCGCAGCAGGGAAGAGACGTAACCTCTAGAAATTGAAGTTGCAGATCTGTATTTGCACAGACGGGCTTGAGGGGAAAAAAAGGAACTGACATTTATAAGCTCCTAATTGAAGACAGTCTTATAATACTTGCAAAATATGACCTTTGCTATCCTGCACTTTCAGCCCAAACCCACCAAAAATGGAATGGGTGATTATTGGAAACCATTTCTATTAGAAAAAGGGGGGCGGGGGGACAGGGGGGGGAAAAACTGCAGAGATGCACCTCCCTTATGAGTTCTCTGGGTTCTTTCATGTGGGTTCTATGTCCCTGCTAGGGTGGAGAGCTCAGAGGAGGATAAAGCTCTCAGATGTAAGATTTTCTTCTTGGTGAGGGGCAAGAGACGAAGCCATTCCAAAAACAGCAGACAGGTGTCTAGACAGCTGTCTCATCTGACACCAATGGAAAAAAAGACCTGTACAGAAAGAAATATAGGCAGCAAGCCAGCGTGATGGAAAGAAAGATGCATGGATAGAAGCTTGAGTTAATGGATGATAGACAGACATGCGGGCAGGCAGAGAAGAGGGGGAAGAAGAAAAGAGAAAAGATGAGAGGAACGCACACGGGTAGACATGCAGACAGACAAACGCTGACAAATGACTTGAGCTGTTCTAAGTTATATTCGGCAGTGTGGAGATCCCAAAGGCACAGAGTTTGGCTGTAGATTCAAAAATGCACACTGGAGGTTTGCAAGTCCAACCAAACATTCATGAGGCGCCTCAGAAATGTTTGACCTTTTATATGTTTTTATTCATTATTTCTTGTGGCTCTTTGACACAAAAGTCATCTGACCAGCTAATAGTTGATTGACCTGATAGAACATGACAAAGTGTAAATTATGTGAATTTGTTGGTGCTGCAGTTAATTCCACCAATAAAGCACTGATACATGTTTACCTTTTCAGAATAAGACTAACAGACATCCAGAATGTGAGGATAATCACTCATTTCTGAATATTAGAATGGATTCAAGTTCTTATGTCATTACAAAAAAAAACTCCTCCCAGCGCTACAGTATATCGATGCTGTCAGAAAAAAATCTCCAAATTATTACATTTTAACTTTACTATTTAAGTTAGTACATAATTTAATATGTTTTTTTTTACCTTTTTCTTTAGGAGAAGGTAAAAATATTTTTAATTCTTAAAGTAAATTATTAGTGGTATATTAGTAGTGAGATTTTAAGTCATTTTGGAGCATTTTGATTGGTCCATTTATCATTAAATATTCACACAATATAGAGAACAGGTTTCAAATGATTTATAAAAGTAAAAATCTGAAAAAATGGTGATACAACAGTATACTTCACTGTAGGTTTTAGCGTTGATAAAATGATTTGATAAGTGACAAATCACTTTTAACAAAAGAAAATAGAAAGATTCTGTTAAAAAGAAAAAAGAAAACAAAAAAACATCGTAAATTTTCATCGATACCATTGTGTTTGTAAATTAGGGCTGTCAACGTTAACATGTTAACACTCACAACCAATCTCAGTAATCACATAAAGAAACCTTAATGTGTTACTTTTTAACGTTAATGAATCATATTACCAAGTTTGATCCCGTTTGATCCCAAGTTGATTACTAAAAGGCGCAAACATAAATAACAGGATGACTGAGGAAACATCCCCTGGTGTGCCGACTGGCAAGTTTAGTCCGAAACTGGATGAATAAACGTCACCCTATAGGAACAGATAGAGCTCGCAATATGACCACAGCAAGGAATCTACCAATCGAGCATATATACGCCCGGCACAGCGCACATTATACAGGGGGTCGTCACAGCGGCTCTCCGTGATGGCATGTTTATCGAGGCTTTAGCCAAGTGTGATAAAATAGTCAGACATTTCAAACACAGCCCTGCAAACACAGCAGAGCTATTATTATGATTACTTTGATTATTGTTTTAATCAGTGGACACCAAACAGAAGAGGAGATCTTTTTCATGATTTAAATTTGATGAACAGTTACTGTGTGGACAGTCAAACACAGTACTGCGCAATAATCAGAATTCACCCTTCATTTCTTTAATTTCCAGTCAAGACGGTCAATAAGTAGATATTTCTGAGTCAGATACAAGACAATCCACTTGAGAAAGGAAGGAAACATAGAAGAAACATAGAAGTTGCTGGGGTTCTCTGAATAACGGGCTGCGCTCACTAGAACCCAGACCTCAACATCATTATTGTTTGTGATTATTTGGATCGTGCGTTGCAGAAAATGCAACCAGCTTGTAAGACTGAACAGACAAGTGTCCCGAAAAGAAAGGAAGCTGTACTAAAGAACTTCTGCACAGTAGTATAATAGTAATAACATAGCAGTATAATATTAATAACTAGCACTCTAAAGGTTTTTGCAGGTTACCATGCCAATAAATGAAATCATTTCTCTAGGGTATATTTTATAGCTGAGATATTTTCAAATGACCACACGGGTTCATTTCACACACTGGCACGCACACATACTGTACACACTGTGAACACAAACGCCTGATCTTGCTCCTCCTCCTTCTATTCGGCAATCGGATTACGGCATATGCACACTTGCTATTTGTGATACAAAAACAGAATATGGAACTGAATGGAATGAGAAAAAGGGAACAACTTCCTTTAAAGCAGAGCCATCAAAAGGCCCACAGTGATTTGCTCTCGGAGGTGCGGGCTGGAGGCTTATGCCTAGACTGCGCTGTCAGAAAGCATTATTCTCAACGCACCCTTCTCTCAAAGCACAAAAGCTCAGAGGAAAACGATGACAGCAATAGCCTGCCGAATCCAAACTGCCCCGTGGCCTTTTCCACAACTACCGTACATAAAAGATTTCAAACAGTTGGCGGTATAAACCAATTTATTTCATCCTTTTAGCTCATCTTTAAAGACTAAACAAACATTTTAAGTCTGGAAGAAATGAAAAGGGCTTGTGTGAAATGGTGCTAAGCTTAATAATGCAAACTGTACTCTCATTAGATCTGGGAAATCTTTCATTTTACTCGTGCATGTCTTCTTTTCTGAAGGATTTGTGAGGTGGCTCAAGATAGCAAGCTGATAAGACTGTGTCTTGTGTGTATCTTCACCTGGATCTAACATGCTTAAAGCTGAGAGTCTTAAAATAGGCAAGCTTTTAGCATGTACAACTGCACCTTAGCTAAGTACCGGCAAAGATGGAAAAGAAGGTTTGATAAGGGATTGCGATAGAAAACCCCAGGGCTTTAGGGGTGTTTATTTCTCTCCGTGCGATAAGGCCATATAAAATAGCTCAGCACAACTGGAAATAATCATTCCGCCTTTAGGGACCTGTCTGCAGCTTGCAAAATACTGCTATCTGTGGAAATAGAATAGGCAATTACTCCACTTATTTATAATTGCTCTAAACATTAATTTCCTCTG